GATAGATAGATAAATAGATAGATAGATGATGGGTAGGTAGGTAGGTAAGGGTATTAAGATAGATAAAAGACGGTATCAAAAAGAATAGATAGAATTGAGATAGATAGATAGATAGATAGATAGATAGATAGATAGATAATAGATAGATAGATAGATAGATAGATAGATAGATAGATAGATAGATGATAAGACAGATAGATAGATATGCAACATTGCAGGATAATGTTTAACAGGAACTCACATAGTTTCAGCAATTATATGAGCTGAAGATGGCTCTGACCATGAGTTCTAATCTCACCTTAAGCATGTAGCCAGCTGTATGACCTTGGTCCAGCCACTCACTCTAAATGGCAAACCCAGGGGTGAGATTCTAGCAGTTCGGTCCTATTCTGTAGAACCGGTTGTTACCATTCCCGGTAGTTTGGAGAACTGGTAAATCAGGCTTCTGGCTGGCCCCACCCCTCTCCGCCTGCTTCTCCACTGCCTGCCCATCAGTCCTCATCATGTATGCATGACATTGCACACATGCACTACACTGCTGCCTGCTCTTGCATGCCCGCCAAGCCAGCCGTTGCTGTCTGCTTTCTGCTGCAGCTCTGCCTTTACTGATATCCCTGGGTTGCTCTTCTTTGCACTTTTTCCAAAGTCTCAACACCTTTTTTGTGTGTGTGTGATATGGTGACCAAAACTGGGTGCAGTATTCCAAGTGTGGCCTTACTAAAGTTTTATGAAGCGGTACTAATACTTCATGTGATTTTGATTCTATGGCTGTGTTTATATAACCAAGGATTGTATTACCTTTTTTTTGGACTTCTGTCACACACTACTGGCTCATATTTAAGTGATTGTCCACTAGGACTCCAAGGTCCCTCTTGCAGTTACTGTTTGTAATTGTGACGTAGTTACTTGTGGGGATGTTATTTTAATTCTCTTTCAAAGCATGTGGAAGAAATGCATAAGTCTCCATTGACCTCCAATCTTACCATGGGGAGCTAATGAAGTCCTTTTTCTTCCTCCCAGTCATCATCTGCCTGCATTCAAATGATGGTCCCTGTTCTAGACATGGTTATTGCAGACGAGCAGCTGTGAAGCCCCGTTGTGATTCAGAATATCAAAGTGTTCAGGAAGATTGTCGAAATTTGCATGTTTATGAAGTCTACAGAAAAGAATATAATTTAATTGATGATGTTCACTTTGCTGGAGCCCGGTTTCTGTGGTGCTCCATATAGCAAATAAATTGCCTGAGAGAGACACTGAATCTTATTAGGATCATGATCAAGTACTCAAGAAACAGGAGAGATAAAAGTCTTGTAGCCATACGGCTGATAAATGTCAAAGGAGAGTTGTGTAAAATTAAAATTAAACTAAAATTAAACTAAAATTAAACTAAAATTAAACTAAAATTAAACTAAAATTAAACTAAAATTAAACTAAAATTAAAATTAAAACCAAAACCAAAACTAAACTAAACACTAAGGCAAGAATCATAGAATAACATAGTTGGAAGGGACCTTGGAGGTCTTCTAGCCCACCCCCTACTTAGGCAGGAAACCCTAAACCATTTCAGACAAACGATTGTCCGATCTCTTCTTAAAAACTCCCAGTGTTGGAGCATTCACAACTTCTGGAGGCAAGTTGTTCCACTGGTTAATTGTTCTAACAGTCAGGAAAGTTCTCCTTAGATCTAGGTTGCTTCTCTCCTTGATCAGTTTCCATCCATTGCTTCTTGTCCTGCCTTCAGGTGCTTTGGAGAATAGCTTGACTCCCTCTTTTTTGTGGCAGCCCCTGAGATATTGGAACACTTCTATCATGTCACCTCTGGTCCTTCTTTTCATCAGACTAGTCACACCCAGATCCAGCAACCATTTTTAATATAATAGAAAAAAAAACCTTCTAGAAAGAGTTTTCATTGGCAGAACCAGAAGGAGTGGGTAGAAACTAATCAAGGAGACATCTAACCTGTAAATAAGGAGAAATTTTCTGACAGTGAGAACAATTAATCAGTGGAATGACTTGCCTCCAGTAGTTGTGGGTTTTTGAGAAGAGATTGGACAGTCATTTGTCTGTAGTAGTATAGGGTTTCCTGTTTGAGTGGGGGGTTGAACTAGAAGACCTCCAAGGACCCTTCCAACTCTGTCATCCTTTTATTCTATGGTTTGGCTTGAAGATATGAGATAATTAATTTAAACAAAGGATGAATATTCCTTTCTCTTGTCCCATTCCAGGGAGGAATAAGTAAATGCAAGAAAAGTCCTTGTCAGTCTCGGAAGCCATTTCTTTCTTTTCTTTTCTTTTTTTTGGAAGCTTTGAGGCTGCCACATTCAATGCCTGGGAATTTGGGAATGGGGGTTTCATAGTGGGGGTAGAAGATTAGATATAAAACCATTTGTTAGATTTTGCAGCAGAAATTCCAGAAAACACAGTCAGAAAATGACCGATTCAGCAGGATTCATTAACTTCTTTATATACATAATAAATGAGTGAAATGTACAATACCAATAGTAGAATCTTCCAACTAACACAAGGAAAACACAAGTAGCAGCTTCAGAGTTCAGAGCAGAGAGTTTCAATTTAGAGCAGAGACTAGAGCCACACCCAGGCTACTTCTAGTTTCACTTTCCAATTCAGCTCCCATTGGCTGGTCTGTTGCCATGCCTATTCATTGGCTGACTTTGTTACTAAGCTCTATTCCAGTTCATGAATACACTCTGACAACATTCTTTTCTCAGAGAATCAAGGCCATGTTGCCCTGCACCTAGAGAGGAGTGACTGAGGGAATGTCTCCAGTTGGGATGAAGATTTGATTGGGCCATGTGATGGACTGATGAGTGAAGGGGATGGATCTTTGAATTCTCTTTGGGGGACGGAAAACCCGGAACTCTCAGATTTGGGTTTTCCCAGATGTCCCAGTATGACAGCTCTAATAAAATGGAACTTTGAGGAACTGATTATCTTGGAGTTTATCAGTATGGAGTTGGTTAGTTGGAATGCTGATAGTCCTTTCATCTCAGCATGGTTAAGGAACAGAAGGAAGTAAGAGATGTGAAGTGGAATTCTGGCTTATGAAATGCACAAGAAATAAGCTCAATTTTGGCAAAATAATGCAGCTATTTTTCAACTCCCAACCATTTGTTTCCCTTGACATTTGTTAAGTGAATTTTGCTCCGTTTTACTACCTTTCTTGCTGCCGTTGTTAAATGAATCATTGCAGTTCTTCAGTTAATAACACGGTTGTTAAATTAATCTGATTTTCCCATCACCTTTGCTTGTCAGAAGGTTGCAAAAGAGGGGTCCCATCAAAGACTCTGCAGCCATCACAAATATGAGTCTGTTGCCAGCTGTCTGAATTTTGATTACGTGATCATGGGAATGCTGCAATGGTCTTAAATATGAAAAATAGTCATAAGTCCCTTTTTTACAGTGACATTGTAACTTTGAACAGTCACTAAATGAACTGTTGCAAGTCAAGGATTACTTGTATTGGCATGTTAGGAAAAACATTAAAAAATTCTTTCATTTGAGCCTGGGTCCTGATTGCTAGGTATAATTTTGGTTTTCTTGGCTGTAATTTACAGAAGAATTGATTTGTCTTTTTCCAGGATTTTTTTCCCCTGGTATGACCTGGTATTTACATCTAAGCAATAACCAGACCTGACCCTATTCAGCTTCCAAACCCCGACAAGATTTGCCAAGCTCTGCCACCTGCTAAGACAGAGTTGAAAAAATAAAACTGCCAGTATTGAAATATATGGTGCTATCACACTTAATTTATTATGCACGATGTGGATTGTCATATCCACAGAGCTGGAAAAAGTACCGAAAATGACAATTGAAATTATCAGGAGGGCTGGCAAACCTCATTATGGGGAACATTTACAACTTGTGTGCTATTAACAGGAACATGACAAAGGTATATAAAATTACTTTCAGCAGAGAGAAAATGAACCAGGAATACAATTTTCTACCACCCTCATATTATTAGAACCCGGAGTTATCCAATTTACCTGATAAATTTAGAAGATTCAGGAGAAATAAAAAGAAATATTTATTCCCATAGTACCTAGTTAAGCTATACAATTCACTGCCATCAGATGCAGGGATGACAAACAATTTTAATGGTTATGTAGAAATTCACAGCGGAAGACGCTATCAACGTTATTATGTTAGCCATGATAGTTATATATTACTTCTTGTAATGGAGGTTGTGTACTTCTTAATACTAGGTGCTGGGGAATATGTGTAGGAGAGAGTTATCTCTTTCATTTCCTAGTTTGGACTTTGGTTTCAAATTCATCATGGTGGAAAACAGGATCTGAAATACAGCAGCTTGTGGCCTGATCCACAAGGGATCCTTATTATTCATTTCATTTTTTATGTATTTGAGTTATGTCTCACATCCTCTCCAAGAGGGATGCCCCTTTATTTTATCCTCACAACAAGAGAGCTGTGAAGTATGTAGAGATGAGAGAGAAGAGGTGAGCCCAAATCATGCAGCTGTCAATTTTGGGATGTGTCAAGTTTTCACTTGGAAACCTGACACAGCAAGTTTCTTAGTCCATGAGCAAGTTTCCAACTGAACATTCCCAGGCCTCACTCAATACTTACATCAATATTAGGGCACAGCCTAATTCTTCAGACTCAAAATGTCTCTCCAAATGGTTCTCCAGATATGTTAATGTGTCTTAATCATTTATTTATAATATTGTATTATCATCAGAGGTGGTATCAGCAGGTTCTGACCAGTTCTGAAGAACAGATAATGGAAATTTTGAGTAGTTTGGAGAACTGGCAATACTACCTCTGACTGGCCCCACCCTCATCTATTCTCTGCCTCCCATTGAGTCCCAGCTGATTGGCTGGGTCTTCTTTTGTTGCCCTGCACAGGAAAACGGAGCTGGAAAGCAGGTTAGTGGGGTGGAGAGAGAATGGATATTTTGCAGTATCCTTCCCATGGAATGGGATAGGAATGAAGATTTTACAGTATCCTTCCCCTGCCATGCCCACCAAGCCATGCCACATCCACAAGCCAAGTCCACAAAACTAGTAGTAATTTTTTTTGAATCCCACCACTGATTATCATCTATTAACAGCAACCTTTGGGATGGAAGGAAGGAAGGAAGGAAGGAAGGAAGGAAGGAAGGAAGGAAGGAAGGAAGGAAGGAAGGAGATGAGGAGAAAAGAAAGGAAGGAGTAAATATTTTTTTCTTCTCTTTTAAAACCCTTTCTTAAAAAAGAAAGAAAAGGGAGGAAAGGAGGGAGGGAGTAAGTAAATATTTTTCTCTTTTTTGAAATATTTTCTAAAAATTATTCCTGTTAATTTAAACAAAAATTGGAAGGCAGAAAGTTCAGAGAACCATTAAATTATCCCTAAATACATTTTAGTTGAAGTGTTAACATAACAGCATCATTAAGACCAACAGGGAAAAAAAACTCAGTAGTGCTCAATATCTCTAGAGAAATACTTTTGAAATGTAAATGATGGGGAGGAAAATGATTTCTCTGAACTCTGTTGGAAAGTGGAATAGCTCACCTTAAAAAAAAAAGACCATTTTTTTAAAAAAATTCCTTGTGGCTAATTTCCTCAGCCTTGCTAAGTCAGATAGAACTGTCTTTCACTGCCAAGCATCTAATCTCTACCCTTGGCTGTAAAGCACTGAAAGTCATCGAAGAAAATTAGATTGCTTAAAGAAGCTTAGGTTTAAACATTTACACACTGGGCTGGAACAACAGTTCAAAATAATGCAAGATGCCAGATGATGTCTAAAATGGATGTAACCAGTGATTCTCAACAGTGGTGGGATTCATTTTTTTTTTTCTACTGGTTCAACAGTGGTGGGATTCAATTGTTTTTCTATTGGTTCTGTGAGTCTGGCTTGGTGAGCGTGGCAGGGGAAGGATCCTGCAAAATCCCCATTCCCTCCCCACTCCAGGGGAAGGTTACTGCAAAATCCCATCCCCTTCCCACCCCACTAACCTGCTTTCCAGCTCCGTTCTCCTGTGCAGGGCAACAAAAAAAGACCCAGCCAATCAGCAGAGAGGCAGATAATAGATTGAGGGCGGGGCCAGTCAGAGGTGGTATTTGCCGGTTCAACGGACTACTAAAAATTTCCATTACTGGTTCTCCAGAACTGGTCAGAACCAACTGAATACCACCTCTGGTTCTCAACCTTTTCTTCAAATAGATCACTCTTTAAATAGCTTTTGTGACCACAGAACCCAAAGACTTGATCATTACATTTTTTTTCAAGCTTTTGTGGACTTTCCTGTGCTGATGTTGTTTTCAACCCCCGGATCTCAATGGATGACAGGTTGAGAACCACTGGACATAACCACGGGCCATCTTTTTTTGTCATCATCAAACCATGAAAGAAATCAAAGTCTGTTAAATCAGCGATGGCCAATCTTACCAAGGTTTCTTTTGTCTACATTTATTGCCCTGTAAAACTATTTTCTTGCATTCTAGGCTTTAAAAAAA